TAAACAAGACATCCACACACTTTAAAGTATCCAATGTTTGGTTTTCTTCATTTCCACAATTCATATGAAGAAACCTTAGTAAATTTTGATGAAATTCTATTCAATATCCTACATGCACTCAATAATGTTTCACCCCATAAATTAAATGACAACTTAGCATAAATTAACCTGACATTTATCATTTCAACTAAAGTTCAATTTTTTTCTTTTAGGCAAACCATTTTGTTCGAGTGTCCTAGGTGTAGAACATTGATGAATAATGCCTTGTTGTTCACAAAATGAGTTAAAATCACTAGAAAAATACTCACCCCATCTCACTTCTTAGAGTTTTCATCTTCTTATTTAGGTGATTTTCAAATTCATTTTTACATACTTTAAATATGTTAAAGGTTTCATATTTACACTTCATCAAATAGACATATGTATATCTAGAATAATCATCTATAAAAGTAATAAAATACCTATTTCCACCTCTAGTCAACATGCTATTTAAATCACATATATCCATATGAATTAATTATAGGATACTAGTACTTCTTTTTACACTTTGATATGGTTTCTTAGTCATTTTAGATTCTACACAGTTTCACATTTAAATGCATCATTTTCATTATATGATATTCAGTCACATTTTAACATTCTTTTCATGGTACTCTTATCTATGTGACATACTCTAACATGTCTAATGTATATGAATCAACAANTTTATGCTCCATTTTTCTAAGAGAATTCTGCTAACCAGGTTTCTATTCATATCGGGAACATGCAGTACATTTGTTAAGGTAACGTTCTTACCGAAAGTGAAGATGATCTCTACATTTCATTTTTCAAACACTTTGGATCGAACTTCGTTACCCATCTGAATCTCTTGTTCTCCATCCACTTCATAATAAGTCTTGAATAAGGACTTATCATATGATACATATACAATTTCACACATATCATACCACCAATCGGGAACCTTTCCCTTGATAGCATTAATTTCGCTTACGGTGGCCATAATGTTGTCTTCCTTGATGGAGTTCACTTTTCCTTCGAAGTTGTTTCTTTTTCGGTGTTGACATTCTTTTGCATAAAGTCCAGGTTTTCTACACACGAAATAACCACATTTGGGCTTTTTCTTGAACTTATTAAAGTTCTTTAAAAGCTTTCTCTTGTTGGATTTATTAGAAGACTCAGTCTTCTCCACGACATTGGCTTTTGAAGTGCCTTTATAAGAATTGTCAATCTTATCTCTTGTCCTTGATTCTTACTCAATTCGAAAATGTTTCTGCAATTGTTACAAAGAATAGTTTTCGAAATTATACATGATTTTCTTCCGATATTTTTTCCAAGTTCCGGGAAGTTTTGCAATAATTGCTCACACTTCGAAAGTTTTCAGAATCTCAATTTTGACCGCCTTCAATTTGTTGACAAGCACTTGTAATTCATGAATTTGGGAAAGAATGGGAATATTTTCAAGAAATTTAAGGCCCTGTTTGGTACACATTATTTTTTTCATTCACATTCTTCTACTCATTTTCAACCACACATTTTTCAATAAAATAATATTTTCCATCACATCAATAATTTTTCCTTCATTTTTAACCACTTATTTTCCATCAATCTACTATTCAATAATACATTCTTTCAAAAGAATGTGTACCAAACACACTCTAAAATCGAAATACCTCGATATAAGGAATTTATTTATACCTTCTTCTTCGACTTTGTACTACTCTCCAAAGCGTTCTAGATTTATTTTTCCAATGAAGTATTGGTATAGAGATCATATAACCGGTCGGATAATGCAATCAGAATGTGACCGTGACATATGAGTTCATCTTCTTGGTGCTTTTGTCTTTCGGTCATCACCGCATCGGTTTCTCCATTTGTTGGTTCCGGTAACAGTACCAAATCTAGATCAAGGATGTAGAATATTTTTAACACATTTAGTAAGGACTTCAATTTATCTTGCCATCTCGTGAAGTTAGTTCCATCAAAGCGATTCAATCAAGCAATAGATTCATCAACTTAATCGTTGCCATAGTGCTTTCATTCTCCATTGCACAAAGATATAGTTTGAGATTGTTGTCAATAATTGCTTCCACAAGGAGAGATTGGAGATTAAAGTAATGAATAAAAAACTAGAAAAATAGAGAAAAACAATATGATGATCAAAGAAAAGATGAAAATAAGGCCTGAACATGAAAACGTTGTCCAAACTATATTTGCCCCTTCTCGGAGTGAAAATGATGCTTAAATGGATTATGAAAAATAATTTGTAGGATTAATCAAGCCTTGTAAATGATTTAACTGTTAAACACTAGTGAAAATCCTCTAAAACTTTAAAGAACACAAAAAATGGAAATGCTGAATATGTAAGAAGGGATCTTTGATTGCAATTATGTGTGAAATAAAATTTCTTTCTAAGAATGATTTTCATCATCTTGCCTTTGAACATTGGTGACCTATATATAGGCCTCAATAGTCTTCCACGAATGGTGTCAAAATGAGATGAAAAGTCACCAAAATTCAAATAGCAACGACCATAAAATGACTATTTTTTATCTAGGCCAAACCTATGCGACCGCATAGTTAAAGCAATCAAGGGGGCCTTTAGCCCTGATATAAGGTAATGCGACCGCATGCCAAATTGAACTATGCGGTCATAGTTCATCGTTTGGCCTCCAAATCGATTTTTAATTCCACAAACAATTTTATTAAGTTTTGAACAATATTTCCATCATGTTTGATGTCAAATGTTCCCCAGGTACAAATTTTAGACGATTTGGCTTTGTAATCTATGATTGATAACTTGATTTTCCGGTTATATTTTTCAATTTGACAATAGAAAATGAAATCACCTTTCTACAACAAAAGGTTACAAAAGTTATAGATAATACCATTATTATGATTAACCAAAAAAGGCACAAACTCTCCCACACCTCAAATCGCTGGATGCCACCACCACCGGTGACGACAAGTCCCCCTCATTCCAACCCACCATCACACCTGGCCTCACGCTACCTAAATCAGCTATTGGAGTCATTGAAGCTGCCCAACCCGCAAATGGTCAACCTGACTGCATCCCACTCTCTGGCCAGACCTATGGTCCAAATCAACCACTGAGCATCTCACCTCACCTAGGCGACGGTTCCTATGGAGATTTATCAACAAAAACAGCCCAAGATTTCAAAGTGCAGACGGAGGCTTCGATCCAAATGGGTATGTATCTAAAGGCTGATTCTTTTGGAGATCCTAATGGATTGCAATTGAATAATTCAACCCACATTCTTCCAACTGAAGGTGTAGTGACATCAAAATTGGGGCAATTGAGGCTGAGATTCTATGCTAAGGTATTAAAATGGGTCTCATGTAAATGAATTGGACTTAGATTCTTCTTCACTGGACTTAAATTATATCAAACCCCTTTGTGATAATGGCCGAGTGAAGGTGATTACCCCTATAGAAGTGGTTGCCTCGGGTTGTGAAATGTGGAGGACGACCTTGGTTGGCTCCTTTGTCGGGAAGAAGTTGGCTTTCCCAGTTGTGAACTTCATTGCTCATAAACTATGGGATACGTTTGGCCTTAAGGAGGTTCTATCCTCAGAAGCTGGGTTCTATTTTTTCAAATTCGATTATCTTCGTCAGGCTTTTTTAGTTTTTGAATGAGTGCCATGGCATATGGCTAACAGGCCACTTATTCTAAAATGTTGGCAACCTAATATGACTTTGGCCAAGGAGAATCTGCGTTGCATTCCTGTTTGGGTGAAGTTTTATAATATCCCTTTGAGTACTGGACAACGGAAGTGTTGAGTCATGTAGTTAGTGTTGTGGGACATCCTCTACATACAGATGTGATCACTGTAACATGTAAATGTCTTAGCTTTGCACGTGTTTGTATAGATATCAATGCTTTGGAGGAGTTAGTGGAAGACTTTGATTTTTGCTGTGCAAGTGGGGATTGGATATCTATTCATGCTGAATTTGAATGGGTCCCCATTAAATGTTCGAAATGTGGGGTATTTGGTCACTCTTGCTCTTTTCGACCTAAACCTAGTGAGAGTAAAAAACTTGCCAAGGTTTGGGTTACTAAGGTTGAGGCTGGCCAAAGTGGTGTAGCCAATGAGAAACTACCTATCGATGATGAGTGGACCTATATCTCTCAAAAGAGGAAGGTTACTGGTAGGGTTGATTCTAGTGTTGCTATTCCTATTCAGGAAGGCGGCTTTCATACTTTGGCAAATAATTCTAAGGAAGTCCAGGGGGAGGTTGATCAACAACCTTCACAAAGTGTTATTGATAAGCAGCTGGTGGTTTTCAAGAGTGCTTATGGAGAGATTGATAAATCATCTTCAGCTAATAACCCTGATAAGTAGCTAGTGGTCTCAAATTCTGATGTATCTCCTATGTTAGAATTACAAATGGTGCCTAATGGGACTTCTGAAGTAGGGGAAGAAGTAGAAGAGTCTCCAGTTCCACTTGCCATTCTAAATAAAGATAACAGCGATACTTTTACTCCTTTGTTTAACACGTTGGCAACAAACGCTATAGATTCACTTAAAAAAAAGGGGGGGTCAGGGGGCAAGCATAAGAAGAGTAAGAAGCATCACTTCCCTAGAGGAGGGAAATGGCGTTAGGCATATTGAGGTTGTTATTCTCTCATTCACTTTAATTATGTATTTTGGATGCTGGAATATCAGAGGGTTAGATGACCCCTTTAAAAAAGCTGAAGTAAAGCGCCTCATTTCTTCCAGTAGGCTTTTTCTGTATGGGTTGGTGGAAACTAAAGTTAAGGAGAAAAATCAAAATAAGGTGGCGAATGCCAGTATCCTTACTAATTCTAATTGTTCTTCACTTGGCAGAATCTGGGTATGTTGGAATCCAAATGATGTAGATGTTTTGCTGGTGGGTTGTTTAGCTCAAGTTATCCATGTTCGTGTTAATGCATGTAATGGTAAATGGAGTTGTGTGGTGTCAATGGTATATGGGGATAATATCCCAATAAGCGTGTTGATATGTGGGCTGATTTAGTAGCTAGGCATGAAGGGTTTGCATACTTGCCATGTGTGGTCATGGTGGACTTCAATTCGGTTCTATCTCCTTTAGAAGTGGAAGGTGGTTCTTCTTCTTGGCTTGCATGGCAAAACAATCTTGGGAATTGCTTGGTAACAGTGGGTTTGGATGATTTAAAGTTTGATGGTTGTTTATATACATAGTCTAATAAGCATGTATCTGATCCTATTTTCAAGAAACTAGATCGTGTATTGGTAAATTCGAAGTGGGAGGATGAGTTTCAGGGATCCAAAGCTACTTTTCTTACTGCTGGTGCGTCAAACCATTCTCCTATGGTAGTAAAACTTGTAGGGCTACCACGTAGGAAGATTCCATTCCGTTTCTTTGATTATTGGATGGATCACCCGAATTTATTTCCTTTGGTAGCTCAGATTTAGGATGAAGCGATCGTAGGAACTCTTATGTTTTGTCTGTGTTCGAAGTTGAAGAAGTTGAAGCTTGCCTTGAAAGAGTTCAATAAGGAGCATTTTTCAAATCTACCTATGAGAGTTGCTTGTGCTCGAACTGATTCAGAGCATGTTCAGTGTTTGATTCAGCATTCGCCTTTGGATTCCTCTTTACATAGGGAGGAGGCTCGCTTACAAAAGGAATTTTGTGAGTTGAATAGGGCCGAGGAAAGCTTTTTGAGACAAAAAGCTCGGGTTAAGTGACTGAATTTAGGGGATCGGAATACTGTTTTCTTCTTCAATGCTATGAAAAGTCACTATGGTAAGAATAAAGTGGTTTCCATTTGTCGAGATGATGGTACTAGAGTGGAGGAGCCGTATGAGGTTAGCAAAGTTATTGTTGAATTCTATCAAATCTCCTTGGACAGCAGCCTAATGGTGAGAGTTTGGATATGGACTTGCTTCGCAGAGCTCTTACTAAGAGTATCTCAGTGGGGCAGAATAAAACCCTTGATAGAGATGTGACATTTGAGGAGATTAAGGAGGTTTTGTTCTCTTTGAAAGACAACAAAGCTCCGGGGCCAGATGGTTTTATTGCAGATTTCTTCAAGAGGACGGGAATGATGTTCTATGTGCCATCAAGTCTTTCTTTAACTCGGGGTAACTATTGAAGCAAGTTAATGCTACTACAATCGTATCGGTTCCTAAGGTTCCTAATCCTTCTCAGGTAAAGGACTTTAGGCCTATCTCTTGTTGTAATACTATTTATAAATGTGTTGCTAAGTTCATTGCTAATAAAGTCAAGTTGGTGCTTCCAGACATTGTTGGATCTCAACAAACTGCTTTTGTTAAAGGGAGACATATTAGCGATAATATCCTTCTTTCCCAAGAGCTTTTACGGAATTATCACTGTTGTGGAGGATTGCCTAGGTGTGCTCTTAAAGTTGATCTCATGAAATCCTATGATTCTGTTTGTTGGGATTTTCTCTTTGCAATTTTAAGGATGCTTGGTTTCTCGGAGAGGGTTGTTTTGTAGATTACTGAGTGTGTCACTACCACGCAGTTTTCGATTTCCATTAATGGCGAGTTGCATGATTTCTTTGCGGGTGGGAGAGGCTTGAGAAAAGGAGATCCTTTGTCACCCTATTTGTTTGTCTTGTCAATGGAGGTATTTTCGGGGTTAATGGGGTTGATGGTTGCAGAGCGGGATTTTAAGTACTATTGGAGGTGTGAAAAGGAGAAGATCGCTCACTTGTGTTTTGTTGATGATCTTATGATCTTTTGTAAAACGGAGGTAGGTTCTGTTTCTCTCATCGTGGACTACCTTAGTCTATTCAAAGCTCTTTTAGGTCTTATTCCAAATCAAGATAAGAGTAATCTATTTGCTAGTGGTGTTTCTTCATATCTTAAGGATTAGTTGCTTGATGTTTTGGGGTATGAGGAGGGAGTTCTACCGGTACGCTATCTTGGTGTTCCATTTATCTCTACCAAATTGCGGGTGTTGGACTGTAAGATGTCAGTGTATCGTATTATAACTCGGGCTAAGAGTTGGACTTGTTGAGCACTCTCCTATGCGGGTACGTTACAACTTATTAAGTCCGAGTTACTTTCTATTCAAGTATATTGGTCTTTTGTATTTATTTTACCTAAGGCTGTGATCAAGCAAGTGGAAGCTACTCTGAGTGCGTTCTTGTGGAAAAGTTGTAACCTTGGCACCGGTGGGAGTAAAGTAGCGTAGGGGAAATTTGTATGCCTAAGAAGGAGGGTGGTTTGGATCTACGGAGCATAGAGATTTGGAATAAGGCTGCTATGTTAAAACACATTTGGTCCCTTTGTACGGATTCTGCCTCCTCTCTTTGGGTTTTGTGGGCACGAAGTTATTTACTTAAAGGCCGAAGCATTTGGGAATTGAAGTGTCCTGGGGACTGCTCTTGGAGTTGGAGGACGATTCTTATACTTTGGGATATAGGGAGGGACAAAATGAAATTCAAAATTGGTAATGGTAGACATGCTTCTCTTTGGTTTGATAATTGGCATCATCTTGGCCCTTTAGAGAAGATTCTTGGTGAGAGGACCATTCAAGAATCTAGATTGAGTAGACTAGCTAAGGTGGCTGATATTGTTGAGGGTAACACTTGAAGGTGGCCATCAACTCTTTCCTCAGCATTGTCTGACTTGATGCGAAATACACTTGATACTTTTCAACCGGATAGTACTAGAGAGGATGTCTTACAACTGGTGGATGATGCGAATGGAGTCTTCTCTTTTCCTAGTGCTTGGGAGTCTATTAGACTTCACTGCCCTAAGGTGACTTGGTATCACATTGTATGGTTCTCTAAGTGTATTCCCCGTCATATATTCCTTTGGCTATAAATTAAAGGTGGCCTTTATACACAGATAAAGCTTTTTCGCTTTGGTTTGGTACAATCTATACGTTGTGTGCTGTGTGGTTGTTCGAGGGAGCATTTGAATCATCTTTTCTTTTCCTGCCCATTTTCTAAGCGTGTTTGGCATGCTTTGCATGCAAAATCTAACCTGCCTTGGGTTCAGCGGAGTTGGTCAGATACTCTTTCTTGGATGGAGCAGTTTCTTACCCTTTTTCTGAGCGCGGTGGGCATGCTATGCATGCTTAATGTAACCTGCCTTGGGTTCGACGGAGTTGGTCAGTATCTCTTTCTTGGATGGAGCAGTTTCGTGGGAGGTCAATGCGGTCCATTGCTATTCGTTTGATATTTGTGGTTTCAATTTATGTTATTTGGCGTGAGCGTAATGTTAGGACCCATGGTGTGACTCCTAAACATGTATCTGTTGTTATTCGAGATATTGTTTTTTCTATTTGTACAATAGTGGATTTATGTAGGGTTTGGTCCCATCTAGTGAGAGTATATGGCTCCAAAGCTCATGGGGTTTTTCCACGAATATTTTCTATTATCGTGACTAAGTTATAAACACTAATCTAGGTTACTGTTATTGGTTCTAGGAATGCATGTATTCGTAGCCTAGTTTTTCTGGGGTATGCCCATGTGATCTTGTACTTTATTTTTACACTTTGGATATAATACATTTACCTTATTCAAAAAAATAAGGAATAAAATGAATTAACTTACACTTATATTATAAAATGGTAATCTTATAGCCCCTGAGAATCTCTAGCATCAGTATTTTAAGAAAGGTGTTACAAGTACAGGGGCCTTCTCACAAGCCCTACCAGGCACCTCACATTGGGGGAGAGCCTCAGTTTTTTTTTTAATTCATTGGGGTGGAGTCCCTGTGAAAACACCCCCTGTACTTGGGGAATAACCCGTATTTTAATTAAATCCGTACGAGAACTCATTTTCTTTTCTTTCTTCACAGGGGCATGGAGCATAGGATTTGTCTTCTAAATAAATCCGAAGGCATGTAATCAGCTACATTATTCTGGTTGGTGGGGGGCCTGTAATGATGAACGCTTTGAGAAAAGGGTGGAATCTTTGTCTCAGGAGAGAACAGCTGGAGCTATGATCAATTCAGTTTTGAAACTAATAATCTCCAAACTTTTCACGCTTTCAATTTTTAAATGAATAGTTTTATTAGAACGTGCAATCCAAACGCCTGAGAGTGTGTTTGGCTAAGCTTTTAAGCTACTTTTTAAAAATTTTATACAGGGACTCATTGCGAACTTCCCTCACAACAATCAATTTTAGAAAGTCCTTCAGTTATGTTTTGTTCGATATCGTTTTCAAGCTTTCAAAATTAAGATGACCAAATTTGTCATTTTACGACTTTTAGAATATTTGTCGTTAATATTAATAAAACATGAAACCGAAAACATTAAAACTTTCGATAGCTATAAATCATCTAAGCTTTAAAAAAAATATTGGAACTAACTGATCATTAATCATTTTTTTTGTCATGATACAAATATTTTTGCATTAATAAATATCAAACTTTCTGTCATTTAATTATTTGATCAACACTAGGCAAATTAAGTCAACAATACAATAAAATGAAGACATCATGTCAAACATCAATTCTTAGTTGTGTCAAGGTTGGCATTATTACTACTAATTTTCAAGTTAGTTAAGGATAAAAGTTTTGTTTGTACACCCTTTTAGAAATATTGACATTTTAATGGGAAATCTTTAAATTTAGAGATTACAAAATACACATCGTGTGTAAGTGTTTATATATCATATTTTTGTAGATTTATAATTTACATACAAAATTTTAGGTTGACGTAACAAAACAACGTTTGCTAAAAAAATTGACACATATATCGTTATAAATAGTTAAGTAAACAAAAATACCCATAAATAAAAACAGAGCTGTTCTCCTGTCCACGGTGGGCAATCTTATCATGTCCACTCGGAGAGAACCCCACGTCGGGTTCTCCTGCCACATCAGCAGATGGGCAGTTTTATCTGTCCACCATGGGCAGGAGAATATTCTCGTAAATAAAAATAGCAAATCACATCTTTTATATTACATTATGTAACGCTTTACATATCATTTTTTTTAGTTTCTTTTGTTATTCTCCAAATTTTCATCTAAAAAATTAAAAAGTCTCTCTCTTTTATTTATTATTCCATGAACTAACATTCAATTGTGTCTTTTCCTACACTATTTACGTAATGTTTTCCATTTCCTTGTTACACAAAATTAAATTTTTTTTTTTTGTTAGGTCTTTTTGTCGATGAAACTTTTCACGTAGAAAAGAGAAAAAAAAAAAAGTAAGAAACTTAAGCATGCATTCTTTACAATTTTTTACGTTGCAAGATGACCCAAACTTCAAATGAATACCAAAATAAACTTTAGCTGCAAAATAATGAATATTATAGAAATTATTTTATTTTTTTCTTAATTTTTATTCATTGACCAAAAAATATTAATCAGAATATATCGATCAGGAAATTATTGTTTTTACAATATTGAAAAAATGAAATGAAGTCTTCTCTATATTTTTTAATACAATATTATCTTATAAGAATTATTTTTTCTTAATTTCATGTTAGAGTTAAGGAAACAACATAACAAATTTTACAAATCTCCCACAAAAGAAGATAATCTTTTAAAGAAAAAGACGTTTAATGAAACACCAATCATTAAAAGACGTATGAAAAATGATAGAAAAGGTAATATAAAAGGTTGATTAGTTATTTCTTACTAAGAGGATTTTTGTTTGTTTAGTTATTTATAAAATAGAATTACAATCATTGTATCAAATCTTTCATTTTATCGTAAACTTGATCTAAACATTTCATTTGTATTACCCACGGTACCAAACATTTTAGAAATTCACACCTAGTCCAAATGAATGGAAACATTTGAGTGTTAGCTGACCATAATAGTAAAGTTCGACTAATTTTTAGAAGGGCAAAATAGTAAGTTTACAATTTTAATATAAAATACAATTAAAAAATTAAATAAAAGAAGAAGAAAAATAAAACGTTCTCTCTTTCCCATGAAAATCAACCACCACCCCAACACTGACACCACTAAAGTGATATAGAATCACGGCAACACTTGCTCCTTCACAGTTGACATCTAATACATTATCAGCAACAAGATCATATTTTCTTAATAGGGTCCCAAACCCTCCATCGTTAATATGATCACTAGAGCATAAATATCCTAGCGAATTCGCTAAAAATTGGTCAAACTTTACTATTATAGTCAACTAACGGTCAAATGGATGGTTGGACTCCAAATTCGAATTTCTAAAAGATTTGATATTGTGGGTGGTACAAATGAAAGGTTTAGATCAAATATGCGACAAAATGAAAAGTTTGGTACTATGGCTGCAATTCTCCCTATTTATAATGACATATTTTTAGTTTTTTTTCTTTTTTTTTTTCAACAAATGATGCCTTTTTTTTTTTTTTACAATTATAAACATTATTAATAAGCTAGCGAAACCCACTCCATTATATAGCAATTGTCGAAAAAAATAGACGGTAGCTTCCCGCCTTCTTAAGTTCACTTCCCTTTTTTAAAATGACTTATTGGTATGATCTAAATGTAGTGTGTATAATGTAAATTAATAATAATAATAATAATAATAATAATAAGAAGAAGAAGAAGAAGAAGAAGGTATACGGCCTATTTTGTAAATTTTCCTTAAAGTACTTAACCAAGCAATTTTTAATATCATTTTAGGTACTCAACCAAGCAATTTGATGCAAACAATTTGACTTCACCATGAAACTCTAAATTTAATCCTTCTTTTGTTTAGTTAAAAAACGTGATAAAATTTTAAGTTAAAATCCATAACTAATTTTAATTACACATTTTATTGGAGCTACAACTTTTATTAAAATCAACTAAAAATATGATTTTAAGTTAAATCAAACAATGATTTAATTTGATATTAGAGTTCGAAAGTTCAAACAATTGATTTGACCGTTTAAAGCCTAAAACAAGTCATTGAGCTTCTATTGTCAATTTTTATCCCAAAAAATTATCTAGAAAACATCCCAAAAAGGAAAAAGAAATGAAATAGAAGAAGTTTCAAATATTGGAAAGGGGCTGGGTTAAAGTTCTTAGTTCTGCTACAATGCATGTCCTCTTTCCTACTTTTGTACCTATATATGTGTTGGCATCTCCTATTTTCTTGTCCAACCAGAAACCTCCTCACAGCTCGCTCGCTCTCTCTCTCTCCAAATAATGGAGAGATTGTTGGAACCCCTTGTACTCGGGAGAGTAATAGGGGATGTTCTTGATTATTTCTCTCCAACCATAAAAATGTCAGTCACTTATAATGGCAATAGACAAGTCTACAATGGACATGAGTTCTATCCGTCTGCAGTCGACACCAGACCAAGAGTTGAGATTAAAGGAGGTGATATGAGAACTTTTTATACGCTGGTATGTGGTATATTAGTAGCATTTTGGTGTAATGAATTAAACTGCAGTGTTGGTATTAATTAAGAAAAAGAAACTAAAATCTTGTCCAATTATTTTATCCTTTATATTTGCAGGTGATGAGTGATCCTGATGTCCCTGGACCTAGTGATCCATATCTCAAGGAGCACCTCCATTGGTATAATTACTATAAGATATATGATTTTATTTTATTATTTTATTGAGAGAACGTGTGATTTAAAATGCGTTTTCGAACAAGGATCTAATCTTAATTGAAAAATACATATAGAGGCATAGCCCAGTAACTGAATCCTAGATTTAATTAGGCTCATTCTCAGGTTAATAACTTTCCGCTCTATATAATCAAGCTGATGATTTCAGGATCAAGAAAATAGTCTTAACATTTTAAGAGTCATATACTACTTGAACCATGTTCAAGTATTCATGTTCAAGTAATCAAGAAATTTTTTTTTCACTTTTTTAACTAAATCAGAGTGAACAGAAAAATAGAATTCTATACGACAATTATTGAGCTACGACCTTTTTGTTGGGTTTTTTTTTTTGAAACTCAGACCTAACCCCCCTCTTAAATTGTATAATTCCATGAGTACGAATTCCAGTTAACATTTACTTACACGTAGAGAATCACAGAGTTAAAGAAGATCTTTAAAGAAAAAGAAAACCTACTAATTAAAGGTTTTTTAATGTAAACGATTTTACAGGTTAGTTACAGACATTCCAGGCACGACAGATGCCACATTTGGTAAGATCACTATCCACACTTTTGGTGAGAATGAATATAAATCTTTATCTGGGATTAATTAATAGTTGAGATGGAAATGTTACTTTTACAGGAAGAGAGTTGGAGATCTATGAAACCCCAAGGCCTAACATAGGTATCCATAGGTTTGTGTTTGCTCTCTTCAAGCAAAAAGGCAGACAAACAGTACATAATCCACCTGCTTCAAGGGATTATTTCAGCACTCGAACTTTTGCTGCAGAAAATGACCTCGACCTACCCGTTGCCGCCCTCTACTTCAATGCACAGCGAGAAACCGCTGCAAGAAGACGATAATATCACAACCAGAATAATAGGTCGACCTTCTGAGTTAATCGTGCACGAAGGAAAATTATGACACTGAGAAAAATAATATCTCTTGTCTGTACTAGTGTCTGTTCGCGTGAAACCTACAAGCGTACGAGATCGTCATATAAGTAATAAAATATGTGAGTTAAGAGTATCGTTTCCACAAGAAATAATGTCTAATTTCTAGTTCAATAGTTTTTATCAAATTTGAAATGTAGCGATAAAAGAGAATTATGTTTTCTTGTTTATACAAATTTCTACTCTAAGAAAATAAATAAATATGATGTTTTTCTAATATGTGAATGCTTGTATTGGAATAATGAATATCCATATTTCCATCTATTTCAATTCTCAATAATTAATCTAGTAAATTCATACATTTTTTTTACAATCGAAAAAACTAATATATTAAATGTTCTTTCCCAAGATACATCAACTTATAACTAACACGAGACGATCATATTCGTAATTCGAATTTATATGAAAGTCATGCATTTGGTTTAGATTAACAACAAGATTGCATCTATGAAAGAGATTATTCCTAATTCTTACTACACATGTTGATTTTACCACATTATAGACTTATTATGAGGATTCCTACACTACAACAAATAATTAACTATTTAATTGGTAATCAAGCAATAAGTAGTGCAATGAGTATGTAAAATCAATCAAATAATAACACGAAATTCCTAAATTGATGTCTTGAATTAAAATAAATGAAAATATGATTCAACATTCATCCAATACAATTGAAAAACCTAGACAACCATCTTAATTATTAAACTATATAAAAAAATAATGAAAAGACATCACCCGAATTGAGAAATAATGAAGAAAGTGGAGGAATCCAATTTCTTGGCTTGAATATTGAAAAAGGATGAATATTTTTTAATAAACTTGTATAATTTACTTTTGGTTGATAATTACGCCTCGTTCTTCGCCTCCAAAATACGTAGAATATATGATTTTTAGGTCAAAATGAGGTATCTCCCGTGTTCTGGTCGAGTTTTGTATATATAGGATACCTAAAATCTTGTTACCACAGTAGAGTTTCAATCTCGCCAAAAGTTTGTACTATGCGATTTCATAGTATATTTATAAGTGGTCGCTTAGAAGGACATCAAACCATCAATTTTGGCCATGAAATGCATATGCGGTCGCATCAAATTAGACCTATACGGTCGCATAGGTATACATTTTCTTTCCATCAGACAGCCTTCAGTATTTTAGTTATATCTTTCTCTCCCAATATCAGATTGTAGTTATTCAAAATGAGTTGGAAAGATAACTCAAAGAGCTAAAAATCTTCCAAAATTATACTTTTTCCAGTTCGAACATTTCTTATGCCAAAAATGGGTCTCAAATTGAGATTGAAAATTCGAAACATAACTTTTTCGGCTGGAAGTTGATATGTGATAGTACTTGGACTATATTTTATCCATTTGGCTTCTTTCATAATTCAATTGATGCCTAACACTCTCAAATCTTCATCGTGAGGTTCGACATGACTTTTGAGTACTTGCATTTCAGTCCCCCGAACTTTGTATTTGATACAATTGAGCCATTTTCCTCTATCTTTGCATTATTTTCTCTAATTCTTCATCAAATATTGAGTTTTACCTACAAAATGAAATATAATACATGTTATGTAGTATTTTATTCAAAGTACAGTAAAATATCATTATTTAGAATCTCGAAGAAGTGTAGAAACTATACTTATCAGTGTCTGCAGGTTCATTTGAACCGGATCAGAAAAATCTGTATTCTTTGCTTATTTGAATTTGTTTATAAATTGATATAAAAATAAAATAAATAAATAAATTTGTTTGTCCAGACTGGTGCTGGAAAATGATTCAAGTACAGAGAATTTTTACCAGAATTGGACCAGATTTTTGAATTTCAATTCACATGTAGTGGACCCCATGTATAAAATATTGAAAAAA